CCCGGTGGCTTGGACTCATGCTTGGTGCATGTGTGTGTGTGCCCAAGATCCCGAGATGAGCATTGAGGAGAATGGATTGTGTTGTGGCCATGCCCTCTGGGGGGTGATTTCTCACTTTCTGTTTCTCTGTCTCTCTCTGTCTTTCTGGCGAGCACATGCACCCTACAGGAAAAACCTCTCAAAAAAAAAAAAAAAGAGTAACTTAATTTTTCATTTGTCACTTATTTATGTTCTAGAGTATTTGCACTTGCTGAAGACAAAGACAGAGATGGGGGTGGGGTATGGACAGTGAGAAAGCACCCCTTGGGAGGATGGCTACACTACAATTTGCCTCTCTTTCATTCTCCTCTTGAGATTTTTGGGCACAGATGCACACACCCAAGTCAAAGGGTCCAGGACTTGAACTGAGCAGTTGGCCATGTGGGATCTAGCCACCTTAATCTCCATGCCACCTGCTGGCCCATAAGCTGTATAACTATTTCATAAATATTACAATGCAGTAATAACAGAGATTAGAAAGTACACAACATGGGACCAGCAGATGGTGTAATAGTTATGTTGTTGGACCACATAGCCAATTGCTGTTCAAGTTCTGGATCTGGCAGCTTGAAACACACCAGGCATGTGTGTGTGCATGCCCAAAATCCCTAGAGGAGAATGGAGGAGAAGGGATTGCAGCATAGCCAGCCCCCCTAGGGTTACTTTCTCGCTTTCTGTCTCTGTGGTGAGCACAAACACCCTATAGCAAAAATCTCTCTATAAATATAAACAAAATAAAAACAAAAAAAGTGCACAATAAATACAATGTGCTTGAATCACTCTGAAACCATTTCCTCCCATCCTTGGTCCATGGAAAAATTGTATTCCACAAAAACTGGTCCATAGTGCCACAAAAGTTCGGGACCGCTAGCCTAGTAGTTAAGGGAGTTGATACCACACGGCTGACCTTGGTTGGAATCCTGGTCCTGGTGGCTGAATAACACACTAGGCATGTGTTCTTACATGCCCAAGATCCTGACAGGAGGCAGAAATTGAGGAGTGGGAGTAAGATTGTAGCATGACTATACTCCACTGCAGGGTGCCTTCTCTCTTTCCATTTCTCTCTAGTGAGCACATGTGCCCTCTGGAAATTAAAACAATATATATATAGTGTACTGTTTCTGCCAGGCCACTATTCTTTTTTTCAGGGATGCTTTTTGGTATAAGGCACATGTGCTCGCCAGAAAGACAGAGAGACAGAAAATAAGAAATCACTCCCCAAGAGGGATGGCCATGCCTCAATCCCTTCTCCTCCATTCTCCTCTCAGGATCTTGGGCACACACACACATGTGCCTGGCGTTATTTTAAGCCACCGGGTCCGGAGCTCGAACCGCAGTCGACCATATGGAAGTTGAGCAACATAGCCATTACACATGGAAGTTGAGCAACATAGCCATTACACCAACTGCTAGTCCCTCTCAGGCACTATTCAAGAACTCAGGAAATAATATTGGCAGGGCTGCAAGGAATGGCAGGTTATATTAGGCCTCATTGAGAAGGTGCTACTTGAGTAAACACTTGAAGGTGAGGCAATGGACCAAATAGATATCTGGGGAAGTGGATTCAAGGCAGCAGAAAGAGCCTGAGCAAGGGACAGTATGGCAGGAGTGAACAAGAAAAAAACTCTTATTTATTTATTTTTTTTTTTAAAGAGTTTTGGTATAGGATGCCTGACCTTGCTGGCAAAACAGAGAGAATGAGAGAGAGAGAGACAAAAAGTGAGAAATCATCCCCCCCCCCCGAGGGAATGGCCCCTCCACAATCCCTTTTCCTCCATTCTCCTCTGGGGCTCTTGGTCACACCTGTACACATACCTGGCGTGAGTTTTAAACTGCTGGGTCTAGAACTCCAACATTGGCCAACTACATGGGAGTCCAGCAACGTAACCATTACAGCATCTGCTGGTCCCAAAAGAAACTCTTAGTATGAATGAAATGGGATGCCATCAGAAAATGGTTTTTGAGCAGAGGAATCAAAGAATCTTAAGTTGTTTTAAAAGGACTGTTCTGGCTGCTGTGTAAAGAATGGATTCTAGATCTACCAGGACATATGGTTAGGAAGTTTTTAAAGTAATTCAGTTAAGAGATGATGACTGTCATAGCACTGGTAGTAGGGGTTGGATTTCAGATATATGTTATGGTAGTGTCAAAGCGATTTCCTCATGGAACAGGTATGAAAGAAGAATGGATAAGTCCAGTGCTGGGAAAGAATATAATTCTCTCTTATTTCTCTCTCTTAAACCACGTTGATTTCCTCATTTAATCTTTTAGCCAGGCACTAAATTTTTCTTGTTCAACTGAGAATGAAATCTATTTATTTCCAATTCATACTCAGTCAGTAATTTAGGATGTCAAGGGACAAAAAAGGTTACAATCCAGTTGCAAAAACATTTTTTAAAAGAATTATTTTATTTAACTTTATTTATTTATTTATTTGACCAGAGTGGGACAGAGTGAGAGAAAGTAAGAAAGCAAGCTGCCGGGTCCAGGACTCAAACCATGGTCAGCCACATAGGAATCCAGTGCCTTTAACCACCATGCCACCTACTGGCCTCAAAATTTTTTTTTAAATATTTGGCTTTTCAAGTAGATTAAACTAGAAATTCTAACTCAGAATACTGGGGGTACCAACCCATTACTGGTTTCCAAAACAACAGAATACATTTTTTTTTTTTTTTTTTTAGAAAAGTAAGATCTCTTATTCTGTGGGAATATACTGCGCCTATATCAATCTTGTACGGATTCATCTTCTGTATCTCCTTTTCCAGCTCGCTTTGGTTGTTGAACGATTGGTAGCGAATGTAAACATCATCTTTTAGAGTGAATGAAAATTCGCGGTGTTGAAAGTAATTCTTTGTCACTGCAAAATAGGTGTACATTTTAAAGTTAATTTGGTCTTTTATTCATTCAGGGCACTATAACATTAACCAATAAGAAGATATTTTTAATGAGTCCTATGTGCTCATCACAGTGCTAGATGTAGAAAAAAATAGACAAGACTTAGTTCCTAATTTGAAGGGGCTTACCATCTCACATTTACTAGAGAAAAAAAATGAGAGGAAAGACGCTCAACTGGGACCAGCAGATAGCGTAGTAGCTATGTCGCTGGACTCAACCACGGTTCGAGTCCCGGACCCAGTGGTTTAAACTCACGCCGCGTGCGTGTGCGTGCGTGCCCAAGATCCCAAGAGGAGACTGGAGAAGGGATTGCGGTGTGGTCATCCCCCCCCCGGGGGGTGATTTCTCGCTTTTTGTATGTGTCTCTCTTTCTGGAGAGCGCACGCGCCATATAGCAAAAACCTCTCCAAGAAAGAAACAAGCAAACAAACAAAAAAACGCACAACTATTTAAAATACGTAATACTAACTCTCTCCGTGGTGGGCACTAATAAGTTCACCTGTCGGATAAGTTTTCTCCTTTCTCCCTCACTGATACACATATGCCTCTGTAGCGCCCCGACACGATCTAGCAACCCCAGGGCATGGCGGCGGGAAAACCGGCACCGAGCGGGCCGGACCGTGTCCAGGCAGGTGCAGTGGCTCTGCGTTTTACTGCATGGCCGCAGGCTAGTCACTGTGGCCTCTCTCGGCCCATTTTCTCCCAAGTGGTGGGGCGGGCTCGAGATAGTACCAGAAGGCGCCCGGCATAATGTCTGGCGGGAGCCGCTTCGTGATCACTTTCAGGACAC